TGTTAGTATACTAGCATAAAAAGCATAATAAAGTGTTGATTTTTTCATAAAATAAAGTTTACAAAATTCGAATTACGAAAAACTTATTTAAAAATTTTTAAAAATTCATAGAAATTTAGAGAATAAATTTATTTTGTTTCTTCTTGGTTCTTTCAGAATTTTTCGCGATTTAACGAGTCTCGTCTTGCATGATTTTTCAACAATAAAATTTTTCCCGTTATTTTTCTCGTTCTAATTTTAACTGATTTCTCGTTGCCTTTACCCTTTCAAATTATTCCGAGTGCAAAAACTTAATCAGAACAGATCATATTATTAAACTATGATGTTCGTTTCACCTAAACAGCGTATTTATTTAAAATCTTATTCAAATTTGCCCAATCAATCATGATTTTAAGAAGATTTTTTTTTAAAAAAAAAAGAAGATCTTCGGTCCTGGTTTTTTCCCTACAAACATTTTTACTTTATGTTACGGCAAAGTTAATCTTTTTAATTTTTTTCGTTTTTTCATAAATTCACAGACCTAATTATTTAACGGAAATATGCCATAGTCAGCAAAATATCATACATACACTATAATATTTTAAAATCGCTTTTAACTACACCAAGTTGCTAAGTAATTTTCTTTACATTTTTTTAAAATGAAGTTTGTAAAAATATTTTAAGTTGTTTGTAAATATATTTAATTAGAGGCGCAACAACAGCAAAAAGTGTGTGCGTGGGCTGGGAGTGGGGGGTGGGTGGGGTGGGGTGTGGGGAAGGACTACAGCATTCCCCGAACCCCCACTTGTCTACGGTCAAGCGAGAAATTCATTTGTATGAGTTTTCTTGGTTTTTTTATTTTCCATCTTTAGCAAAATTAATTTATCTTTTAAAATTAATTTTACAAATCGTCCATAAATTACTTCACCGTTTAGGAGAAGGGTAGGGGGAGGAGGGGGAGGAGTTAGTCGCTTTGTGACGATTCATACCTTGTTGATAAATTACTAACGGTAAGAAGTCTTGTCCTTGTAGAACTTTTTCCATTATTACTGTGTGTTTTTTGTTGTTTTTTTAACTCATTTTGGGGTATTATTATTATCCTATTCCAGTGGCGTCGCGACACTCGGTAGCTCGTAGACAAAACTCATCCTTTTAACGATTATTCTGCAACTCTATAATAAACTTAGTTGCTCTCAATCCTATTATAAACTCGGTGGCCTTTTGGACTTTTTCTACTCTGTCTATTATTCGCTGCGCCTCAGCCTTTGTCCATAATTTAAAACTTATAGCAATAGTCTGATTTCCTCAAACTGACAGACTAAACGCAGAGTAGTAAACAAAGCAAAGTTAAAACGTGCTTGAGTACTTGGTGCTTTATGCTTCTTAACTCATAAAACTAAGCTGTTGAATATAAGGATTATAATAGTGCTTAACTGAGCACTTTTCTTGTTTTTCTAACACTTGTCTTCCTCTAAGGAATACATAAAAATAGCAAAATAGATATTTTTGGACTAGAGTATTTGTTTGTCTATTATGATATTAGCTAAATAATGAATAAAATAAATGAATCTTGAGTTTGTTTGTGAGTTGTTAACTTTCGGTGATTAAATAATAATTATCCGTAGCATTTAACTGGATAGAATATCCGCCTTTTGAAAAATTATATTGCCTAAAGTTTTCATTAGAGGGGTAATTTTTTCTCTTGTAAAATAAACATAAAATAGCAGTTAAAAAAGACGTATTTTAAAAATCGCGAACTTTTTTTGGTAAGTACTTAGAATTATCGCAAAAAATATTTAAAGGAACGCTAAGAAAATACTTCTTAAATATACATTTTATTAACAAATTATTAAATTAATATTATTATTTTTTAAAAAATCTAGGGGCTAATGTTGCAGTTAAACATCCTAAAATCATTTAACAGCTTGCATTACCCGCTTTCATAATATGAAATATATGATTCATATATTTCATAATAAATTAGGTACGTGTGTAAAAATTTCGAATTGTTTAAATATCAGATTGTTATATATCGTTGGAAAGAATTTTAAAAAAATATTCCAAAACTGAAAATTTTATCAAAATCGGATGATTCTACAAAAAGTTATGAGCATTATAGTGACGAAATTTGATTACAAGGATTCCTTAACAAAAATGTGACCAATTTACAATGGTTTTGTAACTTAAACCGCTTAACATTGTCAAATCTTATCTAAATGCATATAACTTGGTATCAAAAGATAGGTGTAACATTGGGCTACAAGCTTCTTTCACTTTTAACACCTGGGCGTATTCAGGGGGCTAGAGGGGGGACAGAATGAACATCTTTGTCATTAAAAAATTTACATTTCTTCCAAAAAAGGTTGTTTTTTTATAAACAAAACTAGTAATTTATCAGTTTAAGTTGTTATTTTTTATTTCCAGTTTGCAAGCAAATATTATAAATGTATTTTATGAAGGAGGTGGATGTGGTGGTAATGGTACACACCCTAGTATCGAAAGATTCATTCTAATAAATATTTTTATCATTATTAAAATGAATGAAAATAGTAAATAATAAAACTAATATATAAAATATAACATAATAAAAATTATATTTTATTAAATTATAAATTAGTGACATAAATAAATTAAAGGATGTGGGGCGTCACCCCCCTCCCCCATCTATCACAAAAAAAAGTTTAAAAACAAAAATTAGTAGTATAAAAAGTGGTAGAGTACGCTTCTTCCAAATCTTAAAACTTTAAATTTAATGCTACCTTTAAATGCTCTAAATGCTAAAAAAGAAAAGAAAAGAAAATGTATACATATGTATAATAAATAAGAAACTTACATAATGCAATTGTTAATGTGAACTAATAACCCTAAATATAAAAAATGACAACAACATAAAAAATTATGTTTTAATTTATAACTTATTTCTTGACTTTTAGTAAATGATTAAAAACAGTTTGGGTCACCTTTAAGCAAAAAAGCAAAACTAAGTTATATATAGCGTAGCTGTATAACAATGTTTGCTGCAATACAATCCCTGCCAAACAGTTTCCCTTTTAATGTTTCCAATGCTTTAAGTGAAGACTTATGCAAGCAGAGGTCATTGTATCCAATGAGTGAAGTTGGCAGTTTAGTTTGTTTAACGATTTCTGCCACTAAGTATTTAACTTAGTGATAGTTGCATGGTTTGCTGCTACTCTGTCACTCATCATATTACTTATATTAGCAATGATTTTACTTCGTACTTCAATATATTGTTGCTCATAAAAATTACTATAAAATTTAGCAAGGTGATCTACAGACTGTGTAATATGACTCTGATAATCATTAGCTGTACCCCAAGCAAGTTGGTCAACAGCCACAACCATGCATCGTGTTTTGGTTGTAAAGTGCACAGCATTTACATGGCCACCCTCTTGTGTAGTGCCATCAAAGCAAGAGGTCATATTTTTTGTTGCAATAGCTATTTCAGCAGTCTTCAGATCTGAACTCCAAGCTCACGTATCATCCGCTCCACATTTGTACGATTCGGAATTTCAGTTGTTGAACATTTATTTTAAAACTATACAAGTAAAACATGTCCTTTAAGACATACCTAATATAAAAAAGGTAGTTTAAGATTTGATTTCAGATGATTCAACATTAAACATTTCTTTAACATTTTAAAAACTCTAGGTACAAGTGTAAAAATTTAATTATATTATTTAGAGCACTAAGCTGTAAATAAATAAATTATATTTATTTAATATAGAGAATAAAATAAATCTAGTAAAGAATTCATAAAATTTTATTGTAACATGTTTAATAATATTAACGTTGCATGTTTAACATGTTACAATAACCCTTTTTGAAGGAGAGTTTTTGTAGACGTTCATAACTTATAGAATAACAAAGCAAATATAATATATAAATATTTATAATTCTATACAGTATATAATAATAAATGTAATTTATTTAATAAACTATTAAAATTAAATCAACTTTAATAGAATATAATTACTATTGCAATAGTCTAGCAAAAAAATATATATTTTGATTAATTATTTAATGATCAATCAATCAATCAATCAATATATTTCCATTTAATAACTGCATATATATACAATAGTGAGGGACATTTACATACAGTTATAAACTGATGATGCGTAAAGACCTACGATGATATAAAACAATTATTGCAAAATTATAACAATAATAAATATAACTATATTAATACTAATAGTAATGATAATAGATAACATAAAAGGCTGTCATAACAAAGTAGTAAATCAAATTAACAATTAAATTAATAATTAGTAGTCAAATGAGTAAATAATGATGCAAATATTCGATAAAAATAATTTAATACTTTGAAAGAATAATCAAAAATACAACTAAAAGTATGACTAAAAAATTATATATCTTCAAAAGATTTAAAAAAGATTCTTTTTAAGAATCCACAAATGCCACAAGGTTGTTTATAAAAAAACAGTTAAAAAATATGCATTTTGCACCAATCGGAGTTTGAAAAACTATCATGTGACTATAAGAAATGAAAAAATGCGAACGCAGCGTAACAAGGCAAGAAATCCAGCATTTCATAGAAATACCCTAGGGTGCTTGGGGAAACCCAAAACCAATGTGCGCAACACCTGATTAATATAAAAATTGTACCAATATTAGACAAATAAATGATCTACCATACCTTAAAGTTTCATAAAGTACCTGTCATAATTTACAGAGCTGTGATTCATAGAAAAAATGTGCCAACTTATGATGAAAAAATATATATGCTTTTTTTTTGTAAAGTAGTCTAAAAATGTATCAAAATTTAGACAAACCTTTTTCCTAACTACGCGCAAAATTTCAAAAAAATTGGTTAATAATTAGCGGTACACTGTCGTTTGCCCTAATACAAAAATAAGTCTTGGCCAAATTACAAAAATCGGGTCACAGATTTTAGCTCGCGTTTTTACGGCAAATTACGAATTTACGCACGTACCTACATTTAATGATTATCATATTATGAAATGTTTTTTTTGTATTTTTAAATTTAATGTATTTTAGCAATAATAATATTAATAATAACAATATTGTTATCAATATATTTTACTAAGAATATATATTTATATATATATAATTTTTAACTAATAAAATGAATTCATATATATCAAGTGTTTACTTGATTAACAAAGCTGGTGGTTTGGTTTATCAACGCGATAACTGGGTAAATGAAGTGGAAATCGAAAAGACGTTTGGATATCCTCTTGGGATGGTTTTAAAAGAGGTTGATGATAAAGTTATTGTAACATTTGGTGAGAAAGATGGCGTAAAGGTTGGATATTCTTTATTATCTATAAATGGCCAAATTACTAATGGAAAACTGCTTGCTGATGGTACACCAATTTTAAAGCATTTGAATAATGAAAGTAACTTTCCTGTATCTTTAAAGTTTGGTAAACCACGATTAAGCACAAATGAAAGAATCATGCTAGCTTCTATGTTTCATTCATTGTTTGCTATTTCCTGTAAATTGTCACCTGTCGAAAAATCATCTGGAATTGAAATTATGGAAACTAATTCCTTTAAGCTTCATTGTTTCCAATCAATAACTGGAGTTAAATTTTTAGTCTTGACAAATACTAAGGTGTCAAACATGGACGTTTTTCTAAAAAAGATGTACGAAATATATTCTGACTTTGCTTTGAAAAATCCATTTTATTCTTTAGAAATGCCTATCCGTTGTGATTTATTTGATAATGCACTTCAAAAACTAATTGAGCAGACTGAGAAAAGTTTGTCACATGGCCAAGGAGTTACTTAATTATACTTTACTGCTGTGTTTTTGTCTGATTGTAGTGAATGATTTTTTTTATATATGATAAAGTTTTCTTTATTTTTAATCACAAACTATATTTTTTATGTAACTACTGTGACATGAAACTACTTCTATGATTTAAAATGCTACTTTTATGGTAAGCGCACTACTTCTATATTATTACTGGTAGTGTAGATTAGAGACCTAAAGCGTTATATAAGTCTAAAATATGTATTTTTAAAGTACTATGCAAACTCTAAATTTTAATACTAATGTCAAATGCAGTGGTTTTTTAAAAATCAAAGTAATTAGATCTTAAGAACAGAAGTACCAACAAAAATAAAGCTAAATATATTAACACATTGTTACCTTAGTCCATTTTTAATAATCAATAGAAGATAAAAAAATTAGATTAAAGTTTAATGTCAAGTTTTAAAATAAATTTAACACTGTGTAACAATTTTACTTCTAAGTTTTAACACTGTCATACCATTTGTCATTCAAATGGTATGACAGTGTTAAAATTTAGAAACTTCTTTTTTTTTTGTTGTTGATGGGGACTGTAAATTTTAAATAATTTCATTATTATTATTATTATTATTATTATTATTATTATTATTATTATTATTATTATTAGGGAAAATGCTAAAGAAATTTTCTTCTTATTAAGCGCTTTTATCTTATTTAAGAATTTTTTTGTCTAAAATCTTTTGGTCTTCAAAAAATGAGTTAGGGTATTATATAAGCTTGGTTTTTTAGTTCTTGTTATTCAATCATTGTGGTTTTTTTGACATAAGTATTGAAATAAGTTTCAAATTTTTTCTAATGCATGAAAATAATTTGTTTTAGGCTCAAAACAATCCTTTTTGTCCCCCATGTAGACCATAAGATTTTAGGATCAGCCAAAAATACATTAGTTTTGAGCACTCTTTAAAAGCTATTATTAAAAGTAATCAATTAGTTTTTTAACTTTATTGAATAATTTTTCTTTTTAATTTTTTTTTTTTTTTTTTACAGGTTAAAGTATTTTTTTATTTTTGTAACTTTTCTTTATTTAAAAACTATTTTGCTCTAAAAATTATTTTTATATAACTTTATTGTTATCATTTTTTTATTAGTAATAATAATAGTAATAATAATAATAATAGTAATAATAATAATAATAATAACAATAATAATGTTATTAAAATTGCTAAAGCACTTGAAAAAATTTTTTTTTTATTAGATAGTATATTTATAAAGATGGCTTCTTCCCTTGATAATTATTTGGATATTGAAGTTCTAGTTAGCATGGGCTTTGATAAAGAGCGTGT